GCGAGGTAAACTTCGCGCACGGCCGATGCGGCGCATTAACGACTTGATTATCCGCGAACTGTCGTCATTGCTGCGTACCTGCGCAGCCTTGAGCTGCACCCGGAGTTCACATTTGCGGATAGTGCGGCGCGACTCTTTGAATAAACCATGAGGTCGCAACTTCACAAACGCGCGCGTTAACTATTATATACTGTATTGTATAGTATATCGGTATATCTTCATCGACACTTCGCTCACGCACGAGAGATAGTAACGGCATCGTTCACGTTCCTGACATTATTTCGAGTCGAATTTTAGTCGTAGGAACGTCGAGAGACCGCGAATATTTTGATTTTTATGGAATACAATCGAGTACGCGGAATGGTATCTTGATCGATAGTCTTTCAGCCGGGCGATTAGATCACCCCTCGTCAGAACAATCGCCTGGCATATTTCAGAATGATCGATCTCGTGAAAGCGATAGTCGGGCCGGCCCTTTTTCGCTACGGCGACGAAAGAGATTGATTCGATTACGTACAATTCGATCGGCACAATCGTGATAAAGTTTCGACTGTTCGACTGGCGCCTCGATTGGCAACTTGTCTGACGATTGCATAACCACTGGTTTAATCGAGAGAGAATTGCTCGTGATTTCACTTGACTTTTTAAGCACGGCAAAAAAATTCGCAAAAAAGATTGTTGAATAATTAGAATATAATGGAAGCCATAAATAATTAAAAAAAAAAGTGAAACGCGAAACTATGCGTTTCATTTTGCATTAAGGTGACTATATCCCCTTTATTCTGAAAAACAGTCCTTTATTTCAGATAGCTGCCCTTTAGATTTATTTATTTTCTCCAACTCAATTTTGTCTTTTATTTTAATTACTTTTTATTCTTTATTTGTTTTTTATTTTATTTAGTCCTTTATTTTACGGGAATTTTTTTTTTAATTAATTCATTTTAATGTTTAATGTCGTAGTGAGTAAATTTTTATGGAAACGATCGATATATTTATTTTTATGTTAAGAGTGGTATCAATCATTTATACGTACTAGGCAAGAAAATTTCGTAATGCACACATTTCTGACAGCCACAAACGAATTTGGAACATAGAAATAAAGTTCTAAAATTTTCAGAATTTCCTTTATTTTCTCGAAGAAAATATGGATCACCATACACGCATTGATCGTATACTTTTTTCCTCGACCGCTATTTCTGATTAACATCGATATCAAAGGGTGTTCGACTCCTGAAGAAACGAGTCTGCCGCTGCCAAGAACACGCGGCGATTCAGGTCACCCGGCAAAGCTGGCTCGAGCCACTTGACTGACAATGCACCAGCGCGCGCATTGTATCCGGACAAAAGATTTTTCACCATCTAACGATTTTAAGTCGGCGCAAGCCGCGCCGGGACGCTAATCGAACTTACCACTTGCAAAATTACGTTTTTACCCGCCTGGCCGATGAAGATTGTCGACTGTTTACTGCGCGTGAGGTGCGCGCGGCCTGAGAAAATGTCGATACGAATTAAATGTATCTTCTGGCGATTTAGCTAGCTGTAACCGAGCTCCAATAATGACGCGAAAGGAGGATAATAGAAGTACACAGAATTTCATCGAGCGGCAAGAGGCGAGAGAGAGGGAATGTGGATGAGCGTCTATTATCTTTATACGAACAATAGGCAATAGGCGTCCAGCCGACTAGAACAACCCTCTTGTTAACTATGGCACTCTCCCCGGAAGAGGCTTGACGCGGACGTTATTTCTCCGGACGGCCGGCGTTGTTTGTTGCGTCATCGATTGGGAGAATTCCAGACAGAAGGATTTTCCTATTATCGGTTACGTAATGTTCCATTAATTCCGCGGCGTCGAGTGTGCCTCCGACTGTCGGCGATTTACTCGCCGTGTCGAGCTTAAAAAGCGCATCACGCGGTAATCTCATTAATCTTTTCACGCGTGTCGTTGTCGCGCGGCGTCGCACGCTTTTGTCAAGCCGCGCGAAATCGTTCATTGCCGCGTGAAATTTCCGTAAGAAAAAATATTAAAAATATTTCGAATTTGAAGGTGAGCGAAGTCGCGGGCTCAAAATCTCATCTTTCGAGAGACTCGCGAGAGAGACGCGCTCCGACAGCGAAATATATGGTATAGACGGCTACGAATTGCGACTGTCAGAACATCTGACTCGTGCGTGTCGCTCGCGATTTGCCAGGACTAATTGCTAGCGAGAGATCCTTGTACATCTGTCACAAAATATATCCAACATGGGCATTACAAAGTCGGACAGGTGTCGTTACTCACAGCGGCAAAACCAACGGAAACGCCCGCCGAGAGAAAAGAACGAAAGCGGGACGAAAGCAGAAGGATGGAGGGAAAAAGAATAGAATGGGTGGAGTACTCCCATTTATTTCGGTCACGAAGGACGCGTGTGAGCACGCGTGCGCGCTCCGTTTCGTGTTCCTTTTTCGCGACACGCTGTAACCGTTG